AAACCCACCCACCAGCACAGCTTTCCATTTGGATGCATCAGGAACAACCTTCAACATCTCCCAAAAATTGGCTGTTTTTAGTGTCCACCCTTTTCCCACCACCAAGAATCACAGAATGAATCAGGTTGGAAGAGAGAAGCACAACTCAGGAAGCCCCAACAGAATTCTTGAAATGATTTTTCAATATCTCCCACCAAGCTAACTATGGAGTTTCTTTGCTGTGCTGGTCTGGTTGGTTTGGAACTCAAAAGTTCTGCTGGATGAAGTATATTTAAGGCACAAAACCTTGATAAGAGCCTTCCACACCTCCTTAAAGCATGTCCTCTCGACCCCAGTTCTGTGCTGACTCTTTGTTCTATCTAGACCTCCTTCTTTGTACCCAAGAAATTATGGAAATTATTCTGTGTCCAATATATGAGGCAGGAGACAAATTGCCATGCCAATGATCTGATCCAGAGAGGTTAAAATCTCTTGTTCTCTGTAGCTTTTTGAGCAGAATAAAAAGAATGTTGGGTTAAAACTGAAGTGATCACATTTCATTTCATTATTTTGCTTTATTTCCAAGCTCCAATTCCACCTTTCAGGACTATTTATACAGTGAGATGAGGTAGGTTTTGTGGTCCTGCAGTAGATGTGTTAGACATTTCCCATTATCCCTCACTGGCAATGGAATTCCATCAACATTTCTTCTACCAAATCCACTGGGACAAACCTATTTTTATGGGGAAGATTAGGAGATTTGTGTAATGGTTTGGGTCTGAATTTGGAGCTCAGGGGAATGACCTTCCCCTGTAATCTTCTAGAACATCATCTTCAATTCCTTGTGTGTTGGTCAGGGCTCCTACATTGTGATGTTCTCCATCCTGGTCTAGTTCTGCACTTTCCTATAATCCCCCTTTCCAGATTCATCAAGAACATCCTCCTCCAATTATCATTTTGCTTGTGATATTTGGAATAAAATAGCATATGAATTATAGCAGGTTTCCAAGAGAGGTGATACAATTCCCATCCTTAGAAGATGAAGTCCTGAGGAACCTAGGCTGACCTCACAGTTGAGAGCTTTGATCAGGAGCTTGGATGAGAAACCTCCTGAGGTCAACCTTCCAACCTGAGCTCCCTGTGACCCAATGATGCACCCACTGAGGCCACCAGAGCACAGCCACTAATACTTCCAGGAATTCCATAAGCTCTAGCAGATGTTTCTGCACTGATTTTCACCACTCCTGCATTGCTTCCCATTGCCAAACTGTGACCAAATCTGGAAGGAGCCACAGTTCTAGGCTCCAGCACAGCTCCCAAGTTGCTCAAGTATAATTCCACCAGAAGAACATTGTGTACATGGTCAGGGAGCTGCACTGGCATGGAAGTGGCTGGATGAACCACATTCCTGGCTATGGAAAGACTGTGGAAGTGAATTCTAAGCTTGTGTTAGCTGCCAGTGTGTTTTGCAGTGTTGCCTACCAGGAGCCATGTCCAGAGCTCTGAATCCAGAGGTGTTTGATATGGTTTTGGCTTTCTGCTGCCCAAGGGAGACACATGAAACTTCTCCCTTTGTACCTACCTGTTCTGGCAGTCATCAGGCCCAGGTTTTCCAGGCCCAGGGGCTGCATCAGGACCACTGTGTGTGGCAACCAATAGTGAAACACCACTAGTGTCTCATTGCATGTTGATTTTATTCACACTGCTGGTGATACAGCCCAGGATGCTATTAGGATGAGGTCAATATATACTCTTATAACCAAAATAAATACTCACTCACTGGATAGGGATAGAACAAACATTAGACAATTCTTATTTGCTTTCCAGAAGTCTGTGTGTGTCAGCACTTCTGCACATGAAGCCAACATCAATTACCTACTCACAAAACTCAGAAGGAAATACAAATTTCACAGATTTTAACTGCCCTGTCCTTCAGCCATGAATTGCTGGGCTCAGACCAGCCTGTCCTTCCCCTGTGTTGATTGATAAGTAGTGCAGTCATGGCCCAGAACATCACAAAATGACCATGTCAAAGAGCTTTTAGAAACAGATACATCAGGAACCAATTGTTGTGTCATGTTGTCATCTTAGAGAACTACACTAAAAATGCCATTTCAGCCACAACACTGAGAGTATGTCATGGGCAGAGATACATCAAATCACAGAATCAGTTAGGTTTGAAGGGAACACATTGGGTCATCTGATCCAGCCTCCCTGCTCATGCAGGGCCATCCTAGAGCACATGGCACAGGATTATGTCCAGATGGTTCAGGAATATCTCCAGTGAGGGAGAATCCACACCCTCTCTGGGCAATCTGTTCCAGTGCTTGGTCATTACACAGGAAAGAAGTTCTTCCTCACGTTCAGGTGGAACTTCCTGGGCATCAGTTTTTGCCCATTGTCTCTTGTCCTATTGCTCAGCATCACAGAGCAGAGCCTGCTCCATCCTCTGACACCTCCCTGCAGGTACTGATAGACATGGATGAGGTCCCTCTCAGATGTTTCCTCTCCAGGCTGAACAGACCCAACTCCCTCAGCCTGTCCTTGTATGAGAGATGCTCCAGTCCCTTAATCATCTTCACAGGCCTTCACTTGACCTGCTCCAGGAGCTCCATGTCTCTCTGGTACTGAGGATGCAGCACTCCAGATGTGCATCACCAGGGTTGAGCAGAGGGGCAGGATCACCTCCCTCAACCTGCTGGCAATGCTCTTCCTAATATGTCCCAGGATTCCATTTGCCTTCTTGCCCCCCAGGACACATTGCTGGTCATGGACAGCTTGTTGTCCACCAGGATTCCCAGGTCCTTCTCCACAGAGCTACTCTCCAGCAGGTCAGCTCCAGCCTGGATTGGTCATGGGATGATTCTTTCCCAGGTGCAGGGCCAAGGTGAAGCCATTGCTGGGCCTGAGAAGGTGAGCAGAGCACATCTGGCTGGTGGAGCTAAGGTCATGTCACCAAAAAGGTGCAGAGGACTAAAATCATTGGCTCCCAATTGCCAGAGAGGACATTACAGCTCTGTATCCCAGGAAACACAACAGTGGCATCAGTTGTAACAGGTCATACTCTTTCTACTGAGTTTGCAAGTCCTCAGGGCTGAGGCTTGTTGGGTTTGCTTTGTCTGAACTTGTCTTGACCTGACTTGAGCTTTGTGCTTGCTTTGCTCATCTGTCACATATGCTTTCCTAATTGTCCAGGTAGCTTTGCCTAATTTACTTCACTTTTATCTTTGCATGGTGCAACTGTAAGTTTACACAGACAACCAGGAGAAGGAGTTGTTGTGTTAGAAGGAGATTAGAAACACAGAGCTGGAATGGCAGCAGAGGCTCCAAGAGATGGAAAAGTTTCTTTACTGAAATTGTTGTCAAGCATTGGAATAAACTTCCTAAGGCAGTGCTGAAGTCACCATCTCTGGAGGGATTAAAAAGCTGTGTAGACATGGCACTTGGGGACATGGTTTAGTGATGAGCTTGGAAGTTAATGGTTGGACTCAATGATCTTGGAGGCCTTTTCCAACCTAAAGGATTCTGTGGTTCTGTGGAGGTGCAGGACATGGCACTGAGGAGTGGTGGCATGGGCTGGTATGAGGTGAGGGATTAGGTTGGCATATAAACAACTCACCAACAGTCAAAGAAATCGAGACCTACAGGTGGCAAAAAATCATCTCTAGGAACAGCAAAGAAAACAAAGAGCAAATATCAAACCAAAGTAAAATACACCACACAGTAAAACCCCATGTGGGATGGACCTGAGCCTTCTGACCAAGGGAATAAAAGAGCAAGGTATGAAACTTAGATTGGATGGAGCTTGGAGCAACCTGGTCTAGAAGGTGTCTCTACCCATGGCAGGGGGTGGGACTAGATGATCTTGAAGGTCTTTTCCAACCCAAACCATTCTGTGATTCTATGGTTCTATGACACCATGAGCAGTCCTTGGTGGGGATTTCTCCAGCTATGCCAAAGCCACAGAGTCATGAAGCAAATTGGACTGAGCCCAGAAGGGGACACTTGAGAGAAAATCAGAAAGTCTCATAGTTCCATAGTTTGATAACATGTTTAGGGGATGGAATGGACTTTAGAGATCATCTATTCCCAACCCCCTGCCCTGGGCAGGGATACCTCCCACCAGAACAGGTTGCTCAAGGCTTTATCCAACCTGGCTTTGAACACTGCCAGGGTTGGGGCAGCCACAGCCTCCCTGGGCAACCTGGGACAGTGTCTCACCACCCTCACACGAAAACATTTCTTCCTAATATCCAACCTAACTTCCTCCTCGTTCAATTTACCCCCATTACTCCTTGTCCTGTCACTGCAGTTCCTAACCAAGAGTCCCTCTGCAGCTTCCCTGGAGCATCTTCAGACCCTGGACCAACACTGCTCTGATTTTATTTGATGTAAGTAATGAAATTGTTTATAAGGTTGTGGGTTTCAGCCTTTCCTTTCACAAAGCACTTGAACCAAGGAGCTTTTGGAGCTCCCCAGCAGTTAAAAAGCATTAGCCATGGCTGATTGCAGCCACCTCTCCCTGTTCATGCTCCTTGATTTCCCTCGTGCCTCTGCGTCGCTCTCATCACTTTGACAAGCCGCGTGCGGAGGAGGCTAATCTTCCCCTCCCTTCATTGGCCATGGATGCTTCACCTCTTTGATCTCTGGCCAGTTTGGCAGCATGTTTCCTGCATTTCAGCTCTTCCAGCAGGGATCACAGCTCCTGCCTGAGATCGAGGCTGAAAAGCAGAAAATCTGTGTGGGTGAGGCATTGTGCTTTGTAGCTGCACCCCCAGAACAAAACAGCTCTCAAAGCACAGGGTGATGCTTCCTGGTTCAACAGCAGCCTGAGCCTCTCTTAGCAGCAGGTGGTGTAAGATGCAACACTGACCTGGTGTAAAGCTGTTTGCATTTATCTTACTTCTAGAAATGCTGATTTATTTCCCCCCAAAGAGCCACAGAAGGTCTTTGTTGTTCATTT